AATAAACCAAATATGGATGAATAATAACAGTAAATTTAAAATATTTCAATAAAAGGTTCAAAAACAATTTTAACAATCACTTGACCCACAGTACAAACATGACTTCCAGCTAGTTGACACCAGATGCCGCCAACGTAAAATAAAAATATTTATTTTTGCCATCTTAGCGACCTCTAGCTGTCAAAAATCAAAAAATTCGCCTTCACACTAATTTTTTTTCATCCTTTAGTGAGCTCTGTCGTTCGAAATCTGCGCTACAAACTGCTTGTGGCGTCATCTATTGTCAGCTAGTCAGAAATCAGTTTCCGGAACGTTCAACGTTAACAGTGTTGGAAGGTGTCTACGGACGGATCTACGTGTTGCCAGATCTTTCCAAAACAAAATATCCATAACTTAAATATTATTTTATAATTAATTATGATTACTTAGTCATTATGTCCCTATGATAGAAACTCTTTCACCTATTGGCAAAAAAAAAAAAATATCACGGGTTTCTTTGGACACGAATTATTCTCCACCAAATCACTCGCCATAAATAGGATCACATGGTAATCACTTGGGGCAGCACTTTATGGTCTGCAAAAGGACCTCCCAACTAATCTCACTGAGCTTTTAACGACTCACTATCGATGTGTGTGGTCTGGCGTTGTTTTGATGAAACACAATTCTCCTCGTATTCTTTTGCTTCTGTCAGAGGGATGAATTAAAAGTTTGGCCGCAGGGGAGCAGCTCATTGTGGATGATTCTTTCCCATTCTCACCAAATAATAAAAACAAAATGCTGGAAAAACGGCTCGATTTTGGAGGTCTTTTTAACTCATGTGGCTCTTATACGGTAAGTTTCTTTGTGAATCCAGCCTTTTCGAATTCGGTGCAAAATATTTTTTGTCTAATCGATACAGTGTTCGCATGACGATGAAACTCGACGATGTCCTATAAATATTTTGTCACTATTTTGGACAATTGGCCTTCCAATTCTTCTCTTCTTCTTTACTGACGTATACACCGCTTACTCGATTATAGCCGAACTTATAACATTGCGCCATTCATTTCTTCGTGCTGCTGTTTGGCGCCAATTGGAAACATCAAGTACAGCCAGGTCCTTCTTTACCTGGTCTTCTGCCGGTGGGTATTGCATAGAATACTTTCAAGGCTGGAGTGCATTCATCCGAATGGATGACCTAGGCAAGATATTGATATCGTACATGCCTCTGCACTATACGATAAGCGACTTGTGGAATTTAGTTTTCCCTAGTTGCCTACTCAGTCCAAAGTAGCACCTGTTGGCAAGAGTGATTCAGCGCTGGATTTCAAGGCTGATGTTATTATTTGTGGTATTACTGGTTCTAAGATAGACGAGGTTATCTACAGTTTCAAAGTTATGACTGTCAACCATGCCGTGGGAATCGTGTGGAAAATGCGATGACTGTTTATATGATGACAGGATATATTTCGTCTTGCCCTCGCAACTACTAGTCCCATATCCTTCGATTCGTTATCGAGTCTGGAGAAAGAAGAACTCACGGCGCGGTAGTTGAGGCCAATAATGTCAATATCGTCGGCGTACACCAAAAGCTGTACGCTATTATAGAAGATTGTTCCTTCTCTATTCAGCTATGGCGCTCTTGCTATTTTCTTCAGCAATATATTAATAAAGTCATACGATAAGGAATCCCCTTGTCTGAAACCTCGTTTGATATCGAACGGCTCGGAGAAGTCTCTCCCCATTCTGACAACGCTGCTGGTGTTGTCTAGCGCCAGTTTACACGGCCATATGAGTTTTGCGGCGATGCTAATTTCAGACATAGCGGCGTCGTGCTGTCGAAGGCTGCTTCAAAATCGACGAAGGCGGTAATCTATCGGTACCTGCCGCTTTGTTGTTTTTCAAGCTGGCAATTGCTCTTCAATCTTCTTCATAGTCGGGCAATGAAGCTTTTGTTCCATGGTCATCAATTGTGGAATCGGGTTCGCCATCTTTTGGTGTTACACTTTCATCGCCACTCAGTAAGCTGAAGAAGTATTCCCTCCCTACGCCATTCACCAAGAGTCCGTCAACACCTTCCTGAACTCTGAACTCTTTTCCCATTCTATTGAAACTTCAAGTACATATTAAACAAATGATCCGAGGATTCGAGGTTCTTGTGAGATTTTATTAAAATAATGTCCATAAAGTATTTATTTTTGTATTTTAAAATGCGAATGATTATAATTCGAAAACCGAATAAAACTAATTTGTACTAAAGCCAAGACTAAAGTTAAAATCATCGTCAAGGTCGCGGAAAATTTTGCAGCCGCATTGCAAACTAAGCCACGAACATAGACGAGAAATTGCAACTCATTCGGCGACTCGCAAGCGGCATTCGTGCAGGACAATTCACTGCCACCGATGAACTGTTGGGCTTGCACCGAAATATACAGAGGAGGACATTCCTCAATTCTCGTGTAGCCAACACAAAGTTCACTCAGATCCAAGGAGTAACCGTTAGTAGCAGCAGTTTGACCACAGCCCTGTTCTGTCTGATCGGCGCTATCCTTGCGATACGGCAATGGAATCGTACGTGAGCTGCAAACTATAAAAGATGCGGCGCTCACCGGTGTTATGCGTAAATAGCGCAAGCTGGTTGAACCGAAAAAGTAATTCGGCATTATGCGGTAAAAATTAATGGCGCCAGCGCGAACATATTGCGCCATCTCATTGGGTCCTGCAGCGGTGGCGTACATATCAGCGCCACAGCGTGGATTCACTAAGCGGCGAGGAACTGTGTAAAAAAAAACAAATTTTATTAGTCGGTTTGCTCGAATCGCAATATCTGCCGATCTATTGCTTACTCTCTCGTATGCGTCGCACAACAGGCGTGCCCGCTGTCCATACTCCATACTCCTCGCCCAGCGGGAAGAGATCTTTATGCGGATTAGGAACAAGATTTTCAAAACGTATCAGTGCACCACCGCCGTAGTAAAGAAAGTGCAAATCGGGCACTGTGTAGTTGAGATGTTCCAGAAAATGCAGTGCATAGCGCATGTCCCAATCCGCCACATAAGCTATCGGACTGGGTATAAGTAGTGCAACCAACGATTGTCCACCCAAAGAGGATGTGTTGCGATCATTGCTCATTACGTTTTGTGCTAGCTCAGCGGCAGTATTTAAGATTTGTGGTAAACTGAAACCAGGTTTGTCTGCAAAGTAATTTAAAGAGGCGTTGGATTTAAGAAGGACTCATCGGTCCCATGATCTCGAGAAGGGAAAGGATGCTACTTACACCAAGAATGTGTTGTAATATTCCAATTTTCGTAGACTTCCGACATGTAGTGTGTGGTGTTGACCATTATCGTAGCATCGGCGGCAGATAGTAGTGTTACACTGCTGGCAAACGGGTTTATATTGAGCCGTTGAAGTACAAAACTGTGAGAAGTGATAATTGAAATTTGTTTTATTTATGCAAATAGCAATAAAAAGTTTATGTAATAAAAAATAAAAAGTAATTAGAAATCTTATTCAATTTATATTTTTTCTTTTCTGTTTTTAAGTCGCCCCTAACGGTGGAGAATCTTTCTACTAAATGATTACACTCAGGGATTGATACTCCCTGCCGAGTGAAGACGGCAAAATTTGAAAAAGATTTTATATGTTGGTCTGGTAGCTTGAGCCTTTATTATACATACGGCTGCTCATCTACCGCGCTCGTGGTGAATAATTGGAATAATGGGTATGGAAATCATCACTTTTATTACATCAATGGTACCATGGCATCGCAGCAAATTAAAATCACCTTTGATTTGAAAAATTCTGAGAGAAACCCTGCACCTTTTTGCATATCTTCTTGTCAAGATAACATAATTTTAAAAATATTCTCCCCCTGCTCCAGTTTATCAGTCTTACACCTGACCTACTCCCAGGTCCGGGGGAAGCCATAGGATGCCTCCTTTCTAATAGACCTTTTTCCTCACTCTTCATAGGTCTGACAAAATTGTCGTTTGGTAACATTTGGCTCTAGGATATCGATGTTAACATTCAGAGCTTCTTAATAGTAATTATTTTTTATTATTTTTCTATTTAATAAATTCATTTTAAATTAAGTTTCGTACTTAACATAATCCGCCACAAAATAATAAGGCCACGTGGTATCCAAAAACACAAAAACGTCTGTCATAATTGATGTTAAGTTATGAATTCCTTGAGGTTCGTCTTCAGCATAACAATCTGGTATTAACCAAGCTGTAAAAATTGCAATAAAATAATAAAATTATAACGACAATTTGTCAATTTATCAAAAATTGCTTATACAAACATAAAGTATTTAGTTTAATAGAAGATTTAAGGATTTCCGTTGGGGAGCGCAATAGCAAAATAATTTTTCTAATTGCGCACGTCCCGATATGAAATAAATGTCCCTCATAAAAGCACTTGTCCGTTCAGAACCCGAACCTAGTCGCACATTCGATTGGAGGAGGAACTCGGCTGAATATCAATCAGCGGTTACTAAGCGTCATTTACATTACATAAGAATTTCCTTAAAATAACTATTTAAATTCGAATATATAATGTAAATATCTTCCAAAATATACATTTAAAAAAAAAAAACCAAAAAAAATATATAAAATAAAATATCTTAAAAATTAACAAAAATAAGTAAAAATAATAATATTAAAATAAATTAAAATCAAATTAAAATAATCTAAGCCAAAATAAAATAAAACAAAGCAATATAACATAAAAATATAAAATTAATTATATTTTCAAATTAAAAAAGTTAAATAGCAAAAATTAAAAAAATTAAAATAAAATGATATAAAATAATAAAATAAATTTCAGTAAAATAAAATAAAATAAAATAAAATAAAATAAAATAAAATAAAATAAAATAAAATAAAATAAAATAAAATAAAATAAAATAAAATAAAATAAAATAAAAAATAATATAAAAGGAATCAAATGAAATGATGACATATATAAAAGAGGGTACCATGAGGATTTGTTTTAGAGTAATGAAAACATTCTCCTGAGTGTTTTGTTGGCTCACATTTTATTTGGCATTCGTATAGACACTATAACTGTAGTATACAATAAATTATAAAGAAATGTAACCAACAATATAAATTTTAAATATTAATACAATAATTAACATGTATGATAGAAATACAAATTGATGAACTTAGCCGTCTATAAAAATTATTATTTATTTATGTAGATGTACAAAAGTTTTTATGATATCTGTGTTCTATGGAGGATAATGTTTTGTATGCTGGCGCTGACTAAACGCTGATTTTCTTGTTATTTTTTACTGCACTAAGCACATTGATGACACTGGCAACCCAAAATTTGTGTGTATATATGTATATACATGTGTTTGGAAAAACTATAAAACTAAAGCGCTGTTTTCTACTGCAAAACTTCGCGTAAGAAGTACGCCAATACAATGGTGACGAAACTGGCGAAAAGACCTGCAACGCCGCTGTAACAGCCCATATTCGTCACCGAGATGACATAACGCGCTTGATTTGGTGCTTGGCAAGCATTATCAGTGCACGATACGGAAGACATTGTTGTAGGCGCCTGTACCGACAAGTAGAACGGTGGACATTGACTGATGTAACTGTAGCCGTTGCAAGCACTGGACAAGTCATAGGTGAAACCACTGCCAATAGTGGTGCAAGTAATGTCTGACGAAGCGCCGTTGTAGTTGGTGGCGTTATTCTGGGTTGGCAGCGTCACGTAGCGCGAGGTACAGATGATGAACTGCGTGCCACTGGTCGATTGTATGGAAACGGTGCGACCACTGCCTGTGCCATAGAAATAGTTAGGTACCATGCGATAGAAGTTTGTGCCATTCGGATAAAGATACTGGGCCAACTGATCAGTGCCCCAAGAGGGTGTGTACCAGTTGGAGCCACAACGTGGATTGATGAGAGTACGCGGAACTGTAGAAGGAAGACGGCATTCGGTTAAATGCACTGGGGAACTACAACAACGCTATGACAAACTTACTTTGGATGATGCGTGAGACGACTGGTGCAGAAGAGGAGGCTGCAGTGCTACCCGAATTCAGCGTAAACAAATCTTGACTGGGATTACGTACGAAGGTAGCAAAGCGGTTAATTTGGCCACTGGTGTAGTAAATGAAGTGGAGGTCAGGTATTTGTTCGTAAATAAATTGCAATTGTGTTGTGGAATAGGTCGAGTCGCTACTGCTAACTTGGGCCGTGCTATAGGGTATCATCAAAGCGATTAGAGAGCGACCGCCAACGGTAGAGTTTGTTTTCTCGGCATTCATGTAGGTTTGCGTCAGGTTTTGTACAGTTTGTAAAACAGTAGGCAAACTGAAACCTTGCGTGTCTGTGGAAAATGGATAATCATTGAAGAAAGAGATTAGCTGAAGATTTTAGTACTATAGGGGAATTCCAAGAAAACTCACATTGCGCTTGTGTGGTCACATTCCAGCCTTGATAAAGATCGTTTATGTTGTTGGTTGTATTCACAATGATGGAACCATCATTAGCAGCTATTAAGGTTAAAGAACTGGCATAGGGATTCACATTGATACGCTGGAGTATGTAACTGTTAAAATGCGTGAAAAGTGGTGTTTGAAAAATTATAACGAAACATATTTAGAAGTAAAATGAAACACTCACTTGACATAATCAACGATAGTACTGTACTGCCATGTCGTATCCAAGAAGACATATATATTGGTCATCGGTGTGATTACATTGGATATGCCGTTGGCGCTGCTACTAACAGAACAGGTGACGTCGTTAAGACTGTTGGCTGAAATGAGAGAGAAGAGGAGTGCAATGAGTAAATAATAGGGATGACTGAGCTTCTGCATAATCGATCTTAAAGTGACAAGATCTTTTTGTAGAAGTCAACAGAGCATTCCTTTAAAATTATTTGTACAAATCGATTAGGGAAGTACTTTATTGGAAATCGTATGAGGAATTTCGGATATGTGACAGCCCATGAGGAGATCATTACCACATTTGTGTAGCTTTTCCCTTGGAGATAAAGAAAAAACCTTTTGGATATTATGACCAATTAAACATCGATTTCTCTGGAAACCCTAGATCTAACGAATTTCTTAATTTAGATTGGAATATGTCTAGAAGCCTTATTAGATCTCACAGCATTAGAACAATTAGAAAAGATAACTCTGACAAGGGTAAGCGTATAGGTAAAGGGAATGTTGATTTGTTGACGTTCAATTCACTGGCAACCTCTTCCGTCGAAATACGTGAGTTATTCGCAACTAAAGTCCTTAGAACATCGTCATCAAGCTCAGAAGGCCGTCCACTGCGAGGTTGATCTTCGAGGTTAAAATCTCCAGAACGAAATTTCGCGAACCATTTCTTTACTGTGCGGAGTGTTGGAGCACTTCTCGAATATCTTTAGTTGCAGCGCCTACTGTTTTTCCTTTGCGGAATTCGTATAACATAATATGACGTATATGATCTTTTCCGTTGTCCATCTTCCATGCGTCTTTTCACTTAGCAACTCAAATCAAAATGAAGTTATTTTATGCTTGATTTACAGTTCGAACTGTCACCTTTCCAACGATATATAATATGTATATATTTCTTTCACGAGCGCCACTCTCAAACGATTCGAACGGCATCCAGCGGAATCGGGCACGAACTTATGCACTCATCCAGCAACTATGCCAATAGTGCCGGAATCCGTTTTTTATATTAGGAATCTCGTAAAGAAAGAAGAGTTCAGGTCAGAAGAGAAGAAAAAAGTAGTGTAAGAAATAGATATTGGTGAAACTTTGCGGTCTTAAAGCAGTCAAAGAAGTCATAGGCACCTCCAAACCAAGAAATTTATACAACCAATTCTACACAGCAAAAGTAATTTAAAAATCATTTTAGGCATTATTCATGCTAAGACCTGCAGATTTCGATTGCATTTTCCACTTTAGATATATCGAGGCAGAAACATCAGTAAGTCTACGAGAAGAATTTGAAACCATAAGAAGAAGCAGATCGAAATATCTGGACAGATATAGTTTGGGTTGAATAACATTGGTTGTCGAAACCTCTTATATCTCAATAGAGGACGCAATATACCCAAGTTCGCACGAGGATCCTCTTCCTTATCTATCCATCTCTCAGAGAATGGTGAAAAGGAGATTTCAGATTTCAGCCACTATTTAAAGAGAACTTGATACTGTTACATATGATATAATATCCGTACGACTTTCTCTCGGACTTGTGGGTCTAGTTTCCTGAATTCTAGAATTTGATATATTTTTTACATTGTAAATAAAAGTGAATTTATTTTTCCCTCGTAAGTAAACTCATTATTTAAAAATTGAATTTTAACCAAACTTAAACAGTAGATGGCGCATGAGTCAAATCAGAATTTATGATCCAATTTTGAGAAATATAATGAAGGGTGTATTGATCCGGTGGGTCTTTAAAATAAATAAAATTCCCCTTTTAAATTATAGCTGATTATTAAAAAAATTGAATAGAATGAAAAGGGTATTTCCCATAGATCCGTCTGCTTTATGTATGTAATAATAAAATGGTCACTCCCGCGAAGTCTTAAAATTCGCTTAAACATATTTATCTTTTGAATACTTACGAACATAGGTTTCTAGTGCACTCGCTGCCGACTGAGCGAATTGAGCAATACTTGTGGCCGACAATGTGACACCCAATTGCATTTCGCGATCCAAGACTTGCGCAAAAGCGCTCGTCTGCGCCACCATCGTCTGATCGTTTTGCACCAAATTATTGAAATAACTCTTCCGATTGCATGCCATGATGCCGCTATTGAGCACACCATTCGTAGAGTAATACATCCGCAGGAGTTGTGATAGTTTCATACTCGATGCCTGACTGCGCCACGATGCGATATTCATTGCAATGATTAGACCATCCAAGCCGCCACGAATCTCAGCGTCGGTCATTTCGAAGTTTTGACGCTGCATCAGGAAATACCATTTCGGCATCACTGTACTATTCCAAGCGCCATTAGCACCTACCGAAGCGGTCTCTGTTGTTGTGAAAGGCACTTGTACAAGCGCCACCTCAGCTAGATCACCAGCAAGTGTGGCTGCCCAACGATTGTCCACACTGACAGTGGCTGTTTGTGGCAAATTTGTGTAACCATTATTGCGGCTCGATAGTGCCAGTAATGTGCGCAGTTGTACACTCTGTTGTTGCAAGCCCGTGGCGACGCCAGCTAAAAGCGCACCCGCAGAAACCGTGCCCCAAGGCGTCCAAATAACACCGTTCTCCACGGGACATTGACTGACTTGGTTATTATTCGAGCTGCCTGTATTTGTCCAGCCCCAATCGTAGTCACTGTAGGCGCCCTTCTGCTTCAGGCCACGTTTTTGTGCTTTTGCATTCCAACTCTCCAACATCTCGACGTCGCCAATCAATTCATTATTACGCTGTAGATTATTAGCTGAACGACGCAAACGCTGAGAGCGATATTGTGACAAACGACTGCACACTGAGCCTTCATCACCACGCACGCGCATATCGATTGAGCTGGAGAGCATAAAGTGCAGCGAACAACGTTCTTCGCGTGTAAGTGTGCTGTTGGGGAAAGTGAACGCATTGCCGGGGATGAGACGTGAGAGTAAGATTCGGAATTTCGGAAACTGGAAACCGGTTGGACTGTAGGGTATAACACCGGGCGATTCGGCTACACCGTAGGCGCGTTGTATGCCATCCTGCCGGAAGCGTTGTAGTAGCGCCACAGAAAGTGTACGAATGTCATGGACGTAGGTGGCTGTATTCTCCACCTTTTCGATTAACGAGATAAGCGTATCAATGGTGGCGGGAAGACGATTTTGCCGATTCATAAAGTAACTTGTGTTGTAACATTCCTCCAGTGAAGGTGGAATTTGTGGCATAATATTCTCTTGCGCAGACGTGTTGCCTATGCTACAGCATAGGAATGCAACAGTGATTAGTAAAAGTGGTGCGACATTGCGCAACACGTTCGCTTCTACCATGGTGTAGTTGTTTCTATTTTTTTTTGAGATTTTCGCTTTGGAGCTTCGTTTGTTAGGAAATCGTTTTGTGGCTGTAACGAGAGAGAGTAGAGCGAAAATATTAGAGTAATTTTTATTAAGTTATCTATTTGTGATATTCAAGATATTATATGATACTAACATAAGTACCAAATAATAGTAGAAATATTTTAAAAAACATTAATTCATAATAAATATGCTAGTTTTAATAAATATGAATAAATTTAATAAAAGAGTGTAAATTGTTAAAATTGATTTAATTTAATTTTTTAAAAATTGAATTAAGAAATATAATAATAATAATTGAAATACAGATTTAATTAGCTGGCTAAGCCTAACTAAACTCCAGCCGAATTAATCAGTTAAAGGAATAAAACTTCACATTATTGGACACTAAAAACTGGAATTTTTATCAATTTACATAAGTGGTAATTGTTGCTTTTCTCGAAAATCTGTTTTTTCAAACAGGTTGGCAACCCATCACGGAAAATATAGAGCAAATTTTATTTAAATTTAAATTATGTACATACATTAACTTATATTTTCTTCATGAATATTCTAAATTAAACTATTAGTAAAATCATTAATATTTTTAATGAAATTTTCCGATATCAACAAATAGGCACCTCTTTCTGACGAATCAGCTGAAATTCTCTAGCATTGGTCGAACTTTTAAATATAGTTATGATCACATATTAAGTGAAATACTACATTAAAAAATTTAAAAAAATTATTATTAAATGTGAATAAATTGAATTTAACTATTTTAACTATCTTAATAATAAATAATATGTGATTGACATAATATCACAATAAGGGGACATTTTTAAATTAATATAGGAAAGTTATAACCTGTGGATAAATCATTTTACATAACGCGATGTAAAAACGGATACTTGTAATTATAATTAATGGAAATGTATTTGAGTTTCTATCAACGAAATTCCCTGCTGATTTGGCTTCAAATCACATAATGCAGCATTTGCAGTCACATGAATTTTGAGACTTAAATCCGAGTGATCTATTGTCAGTGATTGAAAAGTAAAGGGATGTAATGAAATGAATATATTTATTTTACAAATTTTTGGATATTTGTATAATAAGTTTTAAGCAGCTTTGATTTAGTTATTTATTAAAACATTTATAATTTAAATGATTTCCAGAGGATGGCTAGAAAAATTCAAACATTGCTCAATCTGAATGGGAAATTTAAACGACAGCTGTTTGTGAACTGTCAAAATGATAAATGATATATGTATGTGACGGAGATAATAAAATTTGTAACAACAAGATCACATCACTGCACTTTTACAGAAAATTTTGGAATTCATATTGTTTTATCCAAACGTGGAAATGAAAACGAGACTGATATATTCAGAAAATATGTATTTATAATTTGTGGATGACCGTTAAGTGGGGGGTCAGTCGACTTCATTTTTGGGATAGCTGTTGCTTGATTTATACTTAGTTTGATTTGCCATGCAATTGTGCAAATTTATTACTAAAATGGCACTGCGTGCAATATTTGGCCGACATAATCGTTCAGTAGAGTAGATAAATCGAGCAACCATGAATATGCTTCGTACATTAATTACTCTAGTGATCTGTCGTACAGTCCGCACCGAAAATGTTAGTATGGAAAAAGACCCGAATTAGTTGATTTGTCATATTTACAGGCAAAGGGAAATGCTTTGGAGCCGTGGAGGCGGAAGGAAGCTTTTAGTGAGCACTACCTCGTGTCGAGAGCCTGTGACGTTGCCGCCAGTATCGTGCGATTTATCACCACTCTCTGGGGTTAAGCGAAGTCGCTTGTATACACAGTTGAGCTCGAAAATATTGACGCATTGGAAGAGAATTTTCTGCGCGTTTCTGCTGTCATACGGCCTCAATTGCTATAAAACATCGGCATCTCATCTGGAATTTATTCAAGCCATCCATGGTGGTCAGTTGTCTTTATAATAAACATTAATCCTTGGCCTTAACATTGAGTTTTATTCTCTATTTTTATTTTTATTTCTATTTTTATTTTTTTTTTATTTTTCTATTTCTATTTATTTTACTATTTCTTAGTTTTTTTTTCTATTCCTATTTCTATTTCTATTTCTTCTTCAAAACCACATGTCTAAAAAAAGCCCCGCACCATATTTGGATAAATAGACAATTTTATTACATTAAAATTACTCAAAAGAAATGATCATGTGTGAGTTTCTTATTATTTAGAAATAAAACTATCTGTTTAGGTTTTAGTTTTTTCTTCAAAACTAATAGTTATTTTTTAAATAAAATTTTTTTTAAAACATATTTTCCTAGCAAAATTTTTGCATACAAAACTTTTTAATTTTTTTTTTTAATTTTAATATTTTTTCACAATTTTTGATTCTACGGATATGCTCGAAACGTCGTGCAGCATAAAAAATAGTTAAGTGAGAATTATATTTTATATAAAAAAAATACAATATTGCTCAATGAATAAAGATTTAAATAAACATAAGTCTCTTCTTTAATCCTTCACAGTTCTTGGCTTATTTATTTAAAATTCGAAAATAATTTAAGTATATAAATACATATATTTTCGGCACTCACTTGTATTTCATATTGCAATTTAGAAGTTTAAATGAAAATATGGTTACCACAGACAGAATAAAAGTCGCGCCAGAAAAACTTGAAATTGCGTGACTAATTTCGAGTATATTCTTAATAAAAAGCTAGATGTATAAATGAAAAAATTTCAGCTTATAAAAGTCGATGTTATTACAAAATTTCGTTAGTTTTATCTATCCTTGGCATATTAACTTTAATACCCATTAATCATACGCCTAGTCATACGCGACCACCGGTTTTGTGCTTGGTCTTTTCGCACTTGTTATGCTCTCTCTTGTGGCATATTTTCTTCCTCATATTCGTATTATTATTCTTTGAAAGTTTAGCTACACTTGTATTTGAGTTAACTAAATTTAATAATAAATTATATTCCTTGGCTGCTTTATTATATTCACCTCACTACACATGCATTATTTTCATAGTTGTGTGTGTTGGTTATCTTTAGTTTATTTGTAATTCAAAAGCACCTGCTTTTATCTACCATGAAACAAATAGCAACATAATTAAATGTGCTTATTTTATGTTTTGTGTCATAATTCGTTTATCAAGAAAATGTTAGTAAAAATAGATTGAATTCGATTCGCCAGAAATAAGTTAGATTACATAGATGTACATATATAAATATGTACATACATGTATATTGAAGTGGTCAAAAGTGTAAAATAATTTTCTAAAATGGGTGGTGTAATCGATTAGGTGTCAACCTTGAATGTGTCTATGTATTTACATCACTTACACATACATTTATAAGTATATCTGACAATGATTAATTTATTGATTGAGTCATCAGCATTTGGATTTTACAATACTCGTAAATGTTCTACTAATTTAGTTGTTAAAAACTTAGCTCTTGAATTTCTTGTTAATTTTTATATATATTTTTTTGTTTCTAGTAAGACTGCGTTATGAAATATAAAACATTTAATGTTGCAAAAAAAATTATTTCATAAATATTTGCAAAGAATTATATCAATCAGTTTGCGTAAAATGCATTTTTAAATAAGAGTTTTAATGCAACAATATTATTCATAACAAATAAAAATACTTTTAACACTTACAAATGATTATATTTAAAGCGTAAAACATATTCATATGTATGTCATATAGATAAACTTACATATATTATAAATATGATACTATAATTGACTCATTTCATATAATAAATTATTTCCTAATACCCATTTTGTAAAATTGCAAAATAACTTTTTTTTATTTACAAGCATTGCACCTGATACCAAAGAGAACGGGAAAAAATCGCTTGTGAAATCGCAAAGGGGGATTTGTTAAACCATTTTCGTTTGTTTATTTTATACACTTGCTTTATATACTCTTATCGATTGTGAATGATATCAATTCTGCGAACTATAAAAATTAATAGAATTTTTAAGGGGTGACGTCACCTAGAGTACAGAGGACACTATTTACGTATTGGAGTACAGGCTTTATATAGTTTGAGTAAAAATATATAAAATAAGTCGTTTGAATAGTAAGAGAAATGTAATAAAGTACGCCCCGGAAGACAGTGATAAAAACAGGTGTCCGGTCATACAGAGATAACTAGATATGTGAAAATAGATACGTACATTCACTTATGTATTACTAGTATTCTTCCATACATAAGCACACGTATGTACTCGCACTTTCACGGTAGGTACAAAGGTACTTCTGAAAATGAAAGACAATATAAATTTGCACCACATATCAAGATATTCTAAAAACTGCATTTTATATCCCAATATAAAGCTGATTTTGGTCACACAGATCTACTTAAAATAGTAAATTTGATTTATAAAATAATTATTTTTATTTATTACTGAGTTTCAAAGCCAAATATACTTTTTAAAACCAAAGATAATAACAAAAAAAAAATCCAAGTCAGCTGAGTAAGGGGAAAATGTTCCACATGAGCTGTTAAAAATTAACTAATGTAATACAGTTAAATATATAATATAAATTAAAATTAAATTAAATTTAATGAAATGAAATAATAAAATTTGTAAAAAAAGTAAAATAAAATATTTAAAATAAAATATAATGAAATAAATAATATAAAAAAAGTAAAATGAGACAAAATAATTATAATAAAATAAAATAAAATAAAATAAAATACAATAAAATAAAATAAAATAAAATAAAATAAAATAAAATAAAATAAAATAAAATAAAATAAAATAAAATAAAATAAAATAAAATAAAATAAAAGAAAACAAAACAAAATAAAGTTTAACTAAACTAAATAAAATTAAACAGAAAATTAAACTAAAATATAAAATAAGATAAAATAAAATATAAAATAAGAAAATAAAATAAAGTAAAATATCATAACAATAAAACAAGTTATGCCGATAAATATATATACATATAAAATAAGTTCTACAGTTTTTTTTAATGCTAAAAAACAAAGCGAAAGAATAAATAACGTCCTTGAGTATAGAACAAACTATATTTGACC